TCTGTAAACTGGTAATTAAGTAGTATAGTGATGATCAATAAATTAACTTAATCTAAACGTAACACTTATGTGCATTTCAACGTGTTCATGAGATTACTGTACAGTTATATTGGATAGTATGAAAAAAATAATGTAAAATAACAAACACAAGTTGGGATAATTCAAACTTTACACGTAAATATTCAATTCCATTTACTATTAAGTAATAATAGAGATAATTTAAATATGATTTCATTTATCAATTTGTAATAAAATCATTCAAGACATATTTTAGTGATGATGAATTTGGCTACTGATTGTATACTTTGGTTTTCGATTTTGAATTAGTATATACCTACTAATTATACGTATGTATTCAATGTATTTTATACGCCGTAAATATAAACTATTCTGAAATTTAATAGTTGAATTCTTTAGTCATTTGAAGCTAGATCACCATGGAAAACATAGAAGCACTGGACGTCCGTTTTGTTATAGTATGAGACTCTTCAAGAGTGCGAATCCACGATGCAACCCGCAGGGTTTGAACCCAGGATCTATCGGTCTCGCCAAGAATGCTTAACCTTTAGACCACTGAACCGGCCGGCATTCAACGGTGGTAATGTCTAATATCAACCAATCCATGAAATTACGCCACCGTCTACCATTGTCTTCAATGATTTACTATCTCACAGGGGAAATCAAATTTTCTGTTCAAGTGTCCTTTTTAATTTTGTTTGACATATATGTGATAGGAAAAAGATATTTTCAATGACTTTCAGAGACTGTAATCATCAAAAAGGAATTAGAAATATATTAATTAATAAACAATTAGTACTAACTTATTTTAATTATATGGATAAATTAATTGCTTTGTATATATTTTAGATGTATTTATTTATTTGAATACATAAATACTGGCAAAAGGGGGCACTAAATACATATGCAGCACACAATAAAAATGAGATTGTGAAGAAACAGAGAACGTAATGTGCGAGCAACAAAAAAGAAGAACAACTATGAAGAAATTAGTGTATAAAGGGGAAATAATAATAATAATAGGTGAATCATTTCAGTCAGAAAAAATACAATCAGAATGTATTCTTTCAGTAAACGAAGTTACGTTGACTTTTACGAAGAAAGTAAGAAGAAATTACAACAGAATGGCCACTGGCTTCTATTACGGATTGTGTCTAATAACGTTTCGTCTTTGTGTTGCACAATTTCTAGGACCTAATCAAGAGAGTCGTACCAGGACATTTGGATGCTTCAAATTATATATATATATATATACTATGTATTTCAGTTATAAGAACAAATGTTTTGGTAAAAATGAAGAAATGATTAACATTGACTGCCTTGTTTTTGTTAGTTGTTATGGAATATATAAACTTAAAATCAAGATTAATCTCTTGTGTTTTAAATGTAATAAGAATATTCATATGAATTTAAATTTTATTTTAAATAAGTCTATCAAAAATTTTAATCAGTAAACAGTATTTTAGTTACGCAGTTATTTCTGTAAATACATACTAATATATATTTGTGGGGTAAATTCTACATTTTTTTTACTGGTTAGAGTTTGGTTAGCAAGTTAATTTTCTACAGACATACATTGAAGAAAGCACCCAACTGTGTCATAAGGCAAACCCTCACTTAGGATCCTTAAGGCCAAAAGAGAATAGGAAGATTAGAGAATACATTACGTGTAGAAATGGAGATAGACATCAGAAAAATGAACAACAATTGGATAGAACTAGAAAGGAAGGCCCAGAATAGATTGTGTTGAAGAGTGACGGTCGGCTGGAGTAAGTAAGTAAGTAAATTAAACATTTTAACAAAATACTCATCGAATAGTCAAGGTTTTAAAATAACCATTATTAGAAAATTCAAGTCAGTTTTGGTGACTGATTTCTATAAAATGTCCTACAAGAAAATTTGTTGTGAGCCTATTGAGAATACTACGGATAGAAAGAACAAAAAAAAGACGCTAACATTTATATAACTTTCTGTGTAATTTGGTCAAGGAATTTCTGTTCTAATTATTATCTTGACAGTACAGTTAGTAACTAAAATTAAATAGTACCAAAATGATTTATTTGTGATTCTATGTTAAACGATACGGTTTGTTTGATGTCAAGCGATTAGAAGCGATTGGCAAGATACTGGTGAATTTGATTTTTCTTAATAAATGGCTATTTACTTTATAAGTGATCATTTGTAATTTAAATCCGACACTAAAACATCATTTCATCATTGCATTTTCGTTCTTACAATTTAAGTAAGATAATTTAATAGAAAATTGAGTATATTGATTCTTACTGATCATTGACTATCTATAATCATAGTGACTGTTGTCGTCAAGAGAAAAAAAATTAGAAAAAAAGATAATTGATTGTAGGCTTTACCGATAATTATACTTCATCATAATTGACTATATCTTCCTTATCATGATACTTAAAAGTGAGTACATTTTGACTTTTCCCATTACGATTAACATAATTTTGTCTATATTTATAATTAGATTCATTTACAATTAAAGAAGGAACGAATAGAACGAAGAAATTTCTATCCAATTAGTTTTTCATCATGGCTTTACACTTATATGATTTACAAGAATGAAATAATACTAGTCGAATGAATACGTTACGTAATAATGTTATAATGACATTTCAATAATAAATTAACATTGAGTAATTAACGATTGTATATTTTCTTTAAAGAATATAGTATTCATCGTACACCTAACTCAATAAATTAAAAACAATAGGTTTTTCAACTAACCTTGATGTTGTTTCACTTGTATCTTCCCATTGTTATTTAAGACTAAAATTGATCAGTCTCATGTTGGCATATGTGCATCCTGTGCGGATGCTTCAATATAGCCTTGTCACAAGTTTTTTTAAGCAAAGGTGAATTTAAACTTCACCCCATTTCACAAGTAAGTAGCTATCAGGAGTCAGTAGCTAAGTGGATAACGTGATGGAGTTTAAAGCGAACTGTACTGGGTTCGAGTCCTGGAGTAAACATCGACTCTGAGATGTAGGTACATCCAGTTGACGTGTCCCATATAGGACGAAATGAGCATCATTGATTCTACAACTAACTACTATCCATAGTAGGCTTTTCATTTTAAAGTAAAAAAGTACATTTTAAATTGTTATATTAACTAAGTTATAAGTAACAATATAAAATTACAGATTACCAGCTGTTTATTTATCAAATATAATTAGTCATTTTTAAGTATAATTATTTACCTTTGGGATATATAATCATGTGTAAATTAATCCCAAATGAAATGAATATTACCTCAGTGAATATAAGGTAGCCTTTTATTCTTTTTTTTGTATTTTCAATAAAGACAAACAGTTTTTTTTGAAGAAAAATCTTTAAATGATTAACATTTCTCAAAAGGAGGGAATTTCAAAATGAATATTGTAGTTTGAGTAATTAAATTCTAATGAATGAATAAAGTTAAATTATTGGAAATTTTGATTTAATCATCAATGAATAAATGAGGAGATTGTAACTAATCTGATAATAAATTGAATTTTCTTATCAACGATAGAGAACTTTTTATATAAGTATCTATATTGATATTGATGAAAATAAAACTTTTTGTTTTTGTTTTTGTCAAGTATATATATTACACTAAACAATAATTATGTATAAACTCTGATAAAACAATAAATTTATCTTCACAAAACAGAGATGAAAGCTGATCATACAGTGTTTTGATGGGATGTATAATTTGTATATGTATATATCAGATGGGTTTTGTGGATATTATAGTAATTTTAATAGCTAAGATCACGGTGGATGAGTCGCTCAACTTCGTGGATCAGTTAAAGTTAGACATTAACACCGTTGAATGCCGGCTCAATGGTCTAGTGGTTAAGTGCTCGCGCGTGAAACCAGTAGGTCCTGGGTTCGGATCTCGCAGGGGGCGAGGTCATGAATGCGCACTGATGAGGAGTCCCACAATAAGACTAAAAAGGCCGTCCAGTGCTTCCAGGTTTTCCATGGTGGTCTAACTTTAATTGACTCATGATCTATATATATACGTGTAAAAATAATCATTAGAATGCTCATAAATATTATGTAATATAATAAGTCGGAATTAGTGTTATAAAATCAATAAATCAATCAAAATTTATTGTTAAGTAACCAAATGATAGTCATAATGCAAGATGAGAATGTAGAGATTATACAAACTAAAACAATGAGATAGTTAATTAGTCTGATTTTTCATTATATTTGTGATTATTTATAAAACTGATCAAATGTAATATCACACATAATGATTATTTCGAAGGATATTTATCTTTTATAGAATAGTGTATATAAGCGTTCAGATAAAGAATGAAATCAACTTGAGATTCAGGGTGATTAGATCTATAAGCCATCCATTTAGTTAACATTAGAATGGCTTTTACTACATTTACATTTCTTTAAGCTAACTTGTTTTTTCACCGATTGCATTGTTTAGTGATATGTTTTTTAAAAAAAACACCTTAAAATCTATCATAGGTCTGAATATTGGATTAGTCAGATGAAAGAAATTCTACTGATTGATGTCTTTCTCTCAGAACGAGATATAGTTATATTGGAGTTCATGGGTATAGAAATTAATAAATCCGTTTATGCTTACCTAATCTAACATATATTATAGGATGTTACTAACATTGTTAGTAATATTGAGTCTGTGAACTTGTAGCAACAAGTAATACAACATCTACTTTACTGGAAACATTTACTCATAAGAATTAATAACAATCATTTTTAAGGATAACTGGATTAACTTTACGCTATTTTTAGCAGTGCCCAGTTTATTTCTTCACTCACTAAAGAAAAATTCTTATAGTATGTTATACAACATACTGTAAATAGAGTCTTTTGTTTCCTGTGATAAGTTGCATTTATGAATTCGAATAAAGCCAAGACAATAATTGAGGCAGAATATTCATTATATTTTGTAATTCCTCACCATTTCCTTACAACCATAAATGTATTAAAGTGTATCATTGAGATATATTATAATCTAAAAAAATTAACATTATTGATGATGATGATGATAATGATGATGATGATGATGATGATGATGATGATGATGATGATGATGATGATGATGATGATGATGATGATGATGATGATGATGATGATGATGATGATGATGATGATGATGATGATGATGATGATGATGATGATGATGATGATGATGATGATGATGATGATGAATTCATATTATTCTGCATCGATAGTCTTTTGTTTTCTGATAAATTATCTTACTGTCAAATAAACAGACGTTTTCAAACGTGAACATTGCACAACAATGTTTATTTATTCATTGAATATAGAAGTAGTTTTCGTTATTTTTAAATATATTCAACTAAATTCACTTGGTGTTTCTTTTCTTGAACATTCCCATTGTTGTTTAGGACTGCAATTGATCAGTTTCTTGTTGACATATGAGCATCGTGTACGGATTGCTATGATATTACCTTAAGTCACAAGCTTTATAAGTAAAGATGGATAGTGGCTAGTAGTGAAATCCAGGACGTGATGGCGTTTAAAACGAACGGTACTAGATTCGAGCACTGAAGTGAACATCAGCTCTGCGATGCAAGTCCATCCATCTGATGAGTCTCAAACAAAACGAAATGCACTTTCTGAATTCTACTACTAGCCACTATCCATCATTGTTTATATGTAACTAGATTTTTGAAAACAAACTCATTTTACATTTAATAGTTTTGTAATAAAACAATAAAATCAATGTCGTATATATATGGAGCTGATGTTTCCGTATTGTATATTTCAAAGAAGTTGTACTGTAACTGACAATAAAATATAAATGACAGAATATTTAATAAAATAATCAATTAGTTTTACATTGTAATAAGTTACGTCATCAGTGAATCTAAAACGAAAAACTAAAAAAATGAACTTTATCATAGACAGATTTAGTGATAGCTTTCATGAAAAAGTTAATTTTAGGTAATAAAAAGTTGGGAAAAAAAACAGGACGAAACTTTAATCCAAATAAAAAAACAAGATTAATTTTTAAAACCAATTAGAAAATAGTTTAGCAAATTTTCAAATGATCAGCTTTAATTGTGACCACAGAGTGATAGATATTTTCTATATTTAAACATACATCATTTGATAAAAAAAAACAAATTTTTCAGATTAATATATTTTAAATATTTTGGGCGAAACTATAATTTATAGACAACCAAATCAGATTTATGATAACAGGTTTTGGATTATGGCGTGAAATTCTTTATTCATTTGGGTTAATACAGTCAGTTCTTGATAACGTTAATTTGTAATGAAAACCCTAAATCTAATCCATATCCTTAACCATTGTAGTGCGGGGTCGAGTCGAGGTTGACTAAGAATACCACTACAAGAAGAGCGCGTACCAGAAAACCAGAAGGCGAATGATAGTTGTAACAAGATTCATTCGTTGGCGATCTCATGGTGTCGAAAGTATACCGAAATCGTGCCAAAAGAAATACAAGCGGAATCAATGGGAAAACGTGCGAGCGTACAAGGCCACAGTCAACGGAAGAAGAATGGAGGAAAAAATAGATATCTTTAGTACAGTCAAACAAACAAGCACAGTAAGACAATCACTGGTACAATTGATTATAATAATAATTGTTTCCATTAAACCAATCGCGTTCTCTTGATAAAAGTAGGTCAAGACACCATCAACTATAAATCACAATCATTATTCTTCACACTGGTTTGAAACGTTCATTGAGCCCTAGTCAGTATAGGTGGACATTCTCAAGGCCACTGTAGCATTGTTCAAAAGTCGTCCATAAATTATAGTCTCACCAAATGTCATGATAAATATTCAGTCATATTGTAGATTGTGTTCTGTAGTCGTTCATTTATGACTGTTAGTCTAGTTCAACTTTCTGATTAGAGTTAATTACATTGTTATCATAATTAGGTATGTTGAATGTCTGAACACCATATTCCATGATTTTAAAAAATACGTTATTAGTGGTAATTGTGAACTTTTTAGTTGTTTGTTAGATAGATAAATTTTAATAAAACTTATACAGCACGTTACCGTATACCGAACATGTAGTCCTATGGTATTAATATGTTTATTATTTAAACTGAAATAATCGATATAGATCTTATCATATCCAAACCTCTGGTAAGCGTTTTTACCATCGATGAACAAGGAAGTTCAGATGCAAACGTAAAGGCAAGGATTGGCAAAGCAAGGACAGCATTCCTACAGTTAAAGAACATATGGAACTCAAAACAACTTTCAACCAATATCAAAGTGAGAATCTTCAATACGAACGTCAAGGCAGGCAGTTCTACTGTATGGAGCTGAAACTTGGAAAACTACAACAACCACCATCAAGAAAGTACAAGTATTTATAAATAGCTGTCTACGCAAGATACTCAACATCCATTGGCCGGATACCATCAGCAATAGCCTTCTGTGGGAGACAACAAACCAACTTCCAGCTGAAGAAGAAATTAGGAAAAGACGATGGAAATGGATAGGACATACATTACGCAAATCGTCAAACTGTATCACGAGGCAAGCTCTAATTTGGAATCCTGAAGGGAAGCGAAAAAGAGGAAGGCCAAAGAACACATTGCGTCGGATAATAGAAGCAGATATGAAAACGATGAATTACAACTGGACGGAGCTAGAAAGGATTGCCCAGGACAGGTTTGGATGGAGAATGCTGGTGAGCGGCCTATGCTCCTTCACGAGGAGTAACAGGCGTAAGTAAGTAAGTAAGTAAGTAAGTAAGTAAGTAAGTAAGTAAGTAAGTAAGTAATATCCAAACCTCTTGTTCGAAACAGATGTTGACTTTTGTAGCTTCAGGTAGATCGTATGAATAATAGTTATCGAATGATTGTTATCGAAATATACATATTGTCAATCCTCGTATATAATCATCGACTTCAATCGCGTTAGTAAATAAAGGAATTAAATAAGTCAAATACAAGAATGAAGTTTTGAATATGTATATTTTGTAAAATCATTGTACAGAATAGATAAACAGAGAAACTGAGCGAAGATTGCGAAGATGAAAGAGAGAAGCAAATCTAAATGACGCTCAATGGAGATGGGTGAGCCAACACGTTTTAATCAAGCCTTAATCCATATTTATATGTATACAAAAATAAATTACAGACATATGATGAGTAGGATAAGATATTTACACACACCTACACTCATATAAAAACAATCAAGATTGATAAGTGAATAATTAAGAAGGTCAAAACGTGACTCAACAAGAATGGATAAATTGGCTTGTTCAGAAGCAAGAATAAGTTATATAGGCTTAACATAGCAACCAACACTAAATTATATCATATATTTCCAGTAGTGTACTATAACCTGTATCACTATGTTTATATTATTATCGATGTGGGGAAATTATAGTGTTTACCTTTGTTCTGTTTTTGAATATCTTTTTTTTTCTGCGAATATTGTCACGCAATGATTATCTAATTTAAAAGAGAAAATATTCGTGCTTATAGATTGAAGGAAATTTCAGCGCAGATGCTATTCACTTATTTAATAACTACTCAATTATATTATTTTTATATGATTGAGTGAATATGTAGTAAATATATATAGAGTTTATTCAAAACAATGAATTTGTTTTATCAAACTTATTTTCTGAATTCTAAATCTAAATGGAGAATGATCAATTTCTCAAAAATGACAATGTTTCATTTCAATCAATGGAAATAAGTAACTTAAGTGTTCAAACTTATCAATAAAGTTTAATTATTATTATTAGAATTGAGATGGTAAATCATTATAGGGAATTAGAATGTGTTATATAAAAATGCCAAGATTCTCCAATACAACACAGAATGCACCAATCCAATCGCAATTGACCGAGAGGCTTTGGAAGATGTAAAAACCTTTACATATCTGGGCAGCATCGTCAATGAACAGGGTGGATCTGATGCAGATGTGAAGGCGCATATCGGTAAAGCAAGAGCAGCATATTTACAACTGAGGAACATCTGGAACTCAAAGCAACTGTCAACCAACACCAAGGTCAGGATTTTCAACACAAATGTCAAGACAGTTCTATTGTATGGGGCAGAAACCTGGAGAACTACGAAAGCCATCATCCAGAAAATACAGGTGTTTATTAACAGTTGTCTACGCAAAATACTTCGGATCCGTTGGCCGGACACTATTAGCAACAACGTACTGTGGGAGAGAACAAACCAGATCACAGCGTAGGAAGAAATTAGGAAGAAGAGCTGGAAGTGGATAGGACACACATTGAGGAAAGCACCCAACTGCGTCACAAGACAAGCCCTCACATGGAATCCTCAGGGCCAAAGTAGGTGAGGAAGACCAAAGAACACATTATGCCGGGAAATGGAAATAGACATGAGAAAAATGAACAAGAATTGGATGGGACTAGAAAAGAAGGCCTAGGACAGAGTGGGTTGGAGAATGCTGATCGGCGGCCTATGCTCCATTGTGAGTAACAGGCGTATGTAAGTAAAAATGCAAGAAAATGTATGGTTATATAGAAATTGTGTTAGAAAATGACCAGTAAAATGATGATAGAAGATAGAGTAACTTGTCTAGCAGAATCAATCAACTTTAATCTCGTTTTAACCAGATTCTAAGTAAATCGCTAGTGATTAGTAAGCCCTGTAGATATTTCTTTCCAATGAATCACCTAATTCATTATTGTACATTTAGTCAATGAGGTTATCACAAAGAAGTAAATTTATCAAATTAACCAACACTTAATTGACATTCATTTATAATCAATATTTTTAAAGCTTTTACCACTTCGTGAAAGATGAACTTCAAAAAATAAAACACATTTGCTTGTCAATTGAATAGATGCATATATCTTCTTAAATATTTTTATAAAGTTTGGTTCTGTGGGATGAGGTCACTAACCGCAATCTCAACCTTCTAAATTTGACTGGTCTTGGGACGCGCACTAGTCTTAAGAGGGCCCTGATAGTTATCTACGATTAAGTTTATTCTACCGAATTATCCCGTTGAATATTTTTTTGCCTGAATTAAGTTAACTTAATAACCTCATCCTTTACAAAATGAAATAATGCATTGAACTTGAATCTCTCATGTTAATAATTATTAAGATATTAAATGCGGTACAATCAGACCTCTTTAAAAATAGTTATTATCAATTTATTTAACTTTTAATATAATAAGAATTCTATGCAGGTATGTAGTTGCTATATTACAGGTCTA